GCATACATACATACATACATGCAATAAATATATACATGCAATACCTGTATACATACATACGTACATACATACGTGCATATATACATATGTATATATACATACGTACTTGCATAGTGCCTCCGGAGTATGCGGCGCTGTTTTCTACCATTTCTCGCGCGGGAGTATGGCACCACACATACAAGTGCTTGAGCGTGAATTGCCGCGTGTGGGTGTACGCGTCTGTGGATGCGTGGGCCGTGGTGTTGTTGTTGTTGTTCTGGCAGTCTTGAACGTACTCGTCTTGGAGCGTAGCGATGAGGTTGTAGTAGGTGCTCAGAGCCGTCTGCACCTTGTGCACCAGGCTCCGGAATATAATACCTGTGTGGAATCAAGTACAATATATCAATGCCGATCATGCATTGCAGCTCAGCCCGTACTTCTGTGCATAGCTGTACTCAGGTGATTGGGCGTGAGATATGCGCATGCTAGCACATATCAGGCTCTGTTGCACAATCCCTGCATGGATACACGTAGGTGGATTATCACTGCTGTCCATGTATGGCTAAGATTAAACCAATTGAGGTTATGGGTATGGGTGCATTCGGTTGTACCTGCTTTTCTGTAACTTGCGCAATTGACTATGCTGTTCTTGATAATGTGCACGTGAAAGGCTATTCGTGTGCATGTATATGTTGCTGTACGTGTGTGCACATGATAATGTGTACGTATATGACTATTCGTGTGCATGTGTATGTTGCTGTACGTGTGTGCACATGATAATGTGTACGTATATGACTATTCGTGTGCACGTGTATGTTGCTGTACGCGTGTGCACATGATAATGTGTACATATATGACTATTCGTGTGCAAGTGTATGATGTACAAGTGCCAGTCTATACGTAAATGTTCAAAGGAGTCTATTCGCTTGTATCTTGTACATAGCAAGCTCAACAACAGACCAAACACACAATAAGAATGTAACTGTGTGTATACGTATCTCCTTGTACCTTATTTTTATTTGTGCATGTGAACAAGTCTCTCGGTACCCGATATCTATTCGTACATGCATACTAGTTGGTGTTTTTGTGTCAGTATATGCGCCAGCATCAATATAGAAACTATGTAGATGTGCACGTTTATCACAACGTAGTCTTTCTTTGTGGTTGTTGCTACTATGACGTGCCTATGTGCGTCTATGAGACTGTAAATAGCATGTACAACACAGAATAAAAAGTGTTGTGCAAGTGTGGGGCTATTTGCACGTATGTGTTCGACATTTGTACGAGCGAGCATGGGTGCACGTGTGAACAGGTGAATGTGGGTGTATAAACCACGAGACAATGCTTCCGCCTACAGTTCGTAATTATGTGCTCAAACTGGCACAAGGGCGTTATACCACGCAACTTGATAATCTAATGCGTCAGCCGAAGCATAAAACACAATTAACGAGCGCACAGCACCCCCGCGAGCGTCCATGTGTACACATACACAAGCGCGTATATACATGCGCACACTTGTAAGCCTTTCCTCTCCGAGACCTCGAGCTTCATTGATATGTACATAATCAATCATATCTTAGCATGATCTGCACTACAATGTCAATAATCTAGAAGTGGGTTAATCAGCTCCGCATTTATATATATATATATATATAAATGGACATACAAACATGCGCACACATCCACGAGTTCAGAGTTACACATGTAAACCATACCAACATGCACCCATGTGCATAACCCTACATTGTGGAACTTTGATTTTTGTATATATATGTATATGGACATACGAACATGCGCACACATCCACGAGTTCAAAGTTGTACATGTGCATCACACCTACGCGTACCCATGTGCATAACCCTACACTGTGGAACTTTGTCAATCACATACCATTCACGTGTATACACCTATAGAGACATACACATATATTCACACATCAATATACCCATAAACAATTCTCCTG